TTCTATTTGTTATTGGTTCCATGCTAGATGCAATTCCTCTTGCTTCTGAGCCAGTATTTCTAATATACCAGTATTTGCATTAATTTTTTCAAATTCAAGTTTACAGATTATTCTTTCTTTGAATTCGATAATGGTAGAATTAAGTTTCCTCGATTTGCATAGAATAATTAACAGTTTCCTTTGATTTTTTTAGCCCCCACATCGTTTCTTTATAATAATAATTTGATAGCTAATGGTGGATTATACGACGATGACCACTCAATTAGTAACAGTAAATTACGATTTTTTTTTGATGCCTATTTTTTTCTTAGTTTTATTATTAAAATAAGTTTGAAGTTCACTTATGATTACATGGCTTGCATAATTGTGTGGTGCGCCATATACACCAATTTTTTTGTGTAAAGAATTCTTTGAAGAATTTCATAAGATAATACTATTGTTCGTAACACATTTTCCGCTTTGAATAATGCAGTGTTCAGCACCGCCAAGATCGGATACCATCCGTTTCCATCATAGGCTAATAATTGTCCTTCAGTGAGTGCAAAATTTACTGTAGATTGACATCTTACTCTTCGCCATCCATAGGAATATTGTACATTGTTTATTTGTTGTCCAAGAGCCAAGTCTAAGAAAGGCTTTTATGAAATCTAGTAAATACAATTATCTTGGCTGGTGTGAGATTTTGTTGCAGTATTTCTTCACAGTTCCATTTATTGGGAAGGTTAAGAGGAATATCAGTTGTTTTTTTGCAAGTTTTCTTTATAATATAATTATTTGCCTGAACCTGTAATAATATAGCCATCATTAATAGTAAACCTTGAATTGATAAGCTTAGACATTCACTTTAGACATTCTTTTCGTCGACGCTCGAGTACGCATTGCAGTTGGTTCTTGTATTTCGAATTTCTTTCTCGCTGATTTCAAATTAGAATTTTCTATAGTTGTTTCACTTTCTGGTTCAATTCCGTGGTTAATTTCGAGCGGATAAAGCATACTTATAGAACGTTTTAGTACTTTGTCATTTGCTAATTCTATTGTAGTGGTCAGTACTTTCCCATCCTTTCTTTTATGAAGTTCCTTTATTCTGGGTAGTTTCCAGATACCTCGTGCTCCGGGTTCATTGAATATAACTAACTCGTTTTGCGTGGAGATCTTAGTTCTATTCTCTCTTAGATGATGAAATTTCCCGTCGAGTACATTCTCTAAGACTGGTTAAGTACTCTGATCTCCATATTACCCGGAATCATTCAAGGTCTTAAGGGTATTTAACCAATAAGCTTCTCTCTAGTATTTAGTTTATATGGGAAAAATTCTTCATCTTGTATGTTATCGTCTTCAATAGGTAAAATTAATGAAGCGTTAGGTGAAATTTAGTAGGACGTACGACTGAATAGTCATCAAAGTTTATATAGGTTAATGGACGAGTGTTAAGTCTTTTCTCCTGTCAAAGTTATTAATTCCCTTTCCCATAGAAGTTTTCTATGGGCCTTTTCATTGCTTGCTTCCTTAATCCAGTTATTCTTTCATAAACGCCTCTTTCCCATGGTGTTCTAGGAGTTATGGATTTCCAATTCATTCTTCTAATTGCTAGGAAATTGGCATTTTGTTCCATGATAGTTGAAACTAAATAGCACTATCACTTAAAATCAGTTTGGGACATCCTCGTCGAGAAATAAATCTTCTAAATATAAGTAAGAAGGTTTCAGCAGATTCTCTACTATTTCTAGATGCATCATTCTGGTTGCATGTAAATAGAGCAATCCATCGTTTTCCTGAACCATATTCTAACTTTATATTGACAAGACCTAAGTAATCCAATCCAAATGATTCGAATGTTGAACTCGTGATTGTGGCAGGTTTGCCATAGCAGATAGTTTGAATAATTTGGAAGTCCCATGTTTACAGGCCATACATTGAAAACTCGTTTGACCTCTGTTCTGCCCTTTAGAATCCAATACGCATTTCTCATTGTTGATAACGTATGAGCGGCACCAATATGATGCGAATTTTCATGGTAATACATTATAACATTATACATTACAAGGAGTTCGGTTATTATATTGTGACTTGGTAGAAAAATCGGGTACTTACTGTTTTCGCTCAATTCTAAATTTTCCAATCGACTCATCGATTTCCATAGTTTTTCACATTTATCATAATAAAGATTCCATTTGGCTATTCACTGTCGTTGATACCGTCAAATTGTGCTTGTCTAATTCGTCGAGCTGTGTCTACTTTCTTCATTGTTATATATGAGAATTCATCTGAGATCGGGTTTAACCACTCGAATTTATTTTTTTGTTTTGCGTTTGATGAATCTGAATGCTAAAATGGTTATTCTTATTAATTTAAACCATCTACTGAATGGGCTTGCATCTATGAACGTAAATTGTTGATACTTGGGCATTTGTTGTATCAATTATTACATCAGCCCATTGAGTTTTCCATTTCTTCATGCTCTTCGTACTCTTTGCTTGAAATTCACATTGTGGCTGCTCGCATTCCTTCTTTTTTAACCATGATGGTCCATACCACCAAGAATTCTTAAGGTTTGTAGGAGAAAGTCTTCTTGTAGCCACGTCCACTGGCTTTTCATTCCTAGGTATGTAACGAAAATTTAATTTTGCCTTTCGAATTTCTTCAACTCGATTCTGGATAAATTTTGTATGTAATTAAGAATTTTATATAAGTTTTTTATCCAATGCAGCACACATTTGGAATCAGACCATAATATCACCTCTTCTAAATCTAATTGATTTAGTACAAATCGTCCTGTTTGTACTCCAATGAGAACAGCAAGCAGTTTTAATCGCGCTATGGTCATTCCTTTGATGGGTACAATATGGGATTTGGCATAAACTAAAAATGGTTCCCTTTTGCGCATTCCTTCTCTATATGTGTATATTGTTGTTGCGTACGCCATATTCGAAGCATTAGTAAATATGTGAAAGTTTATATGGCTTATAAAATTAGTTATAAATCGAGGCAAGTCTTACATGTGTCGTCTTGTTGTCACAGAGTGTTATGTGATTTTTTACAATAAAAACATTTCACCGAATTTTTACAATCGGCCTCTATGTTTTCCTCTTTGAGGCATTTTCGACAGGCTTTGATCTTAATTAAACGTTCTAATTTTTGCTTCAAAGTAAGATAGGTTTCACAATCAGTATTCCAATAATCTTTGTTACAAAAGGAACAAGATATTTTCTTATAATTATCATCTAACCCTTTTTTTATCAACAAATTTAAAGCAACTTTAAACTTATTTGAATAAGGTTGTTGTTAATGCGGAAATTTCTCCTTGATTTCTTTGTTGCCAAGGTTTGGATTTGAACTTGATTAATTGTCGTTCATCATTTCTGTTTGAAGCTTGATTTCTAATTACTTGGTCGTTTCTTTTTTCTAATTTCCCGAGAAACTGTCGAAGTTTTTGTTACTGAACAGGTATCGTTATCATCCTTTTGTTGAAATACTTTGTCTAATATCCATTCTGATAGCCTGCTTTCAATGAGTATTTCAATACTCAAGTTTTAAGATTTTCGCCGATAGCTTCTAGTTGACGAAGAATTCTTTCGATTGATTCGACTATCATTTTCCAGTCTCGATCACACCTTTTAATAGTATGTAATTCGTTATAGAGAGATTTCTTAATAGTGGAAGTATCCCCAAAAGTCAAAACTATGACTTGGTAGTTTTCCGGTGCAATATCATAACCTCTTACTGCTCTTAATGCTTCTCCCCTTAAGCAGGAGACTAAATAATTTAATTTAATAATTTAATTTAATAATTTAATTTTAATTTATCTGGAATTATTTGTGAATGTACAGTAGTTTCAAAGCTGCTCCAAAATTCTCTCCAAAATTTAGGGTCTCCGTTAAATATTGGTAGCGGTGCAGCTAGAATTATGTTTTTCAGCTTGATGAAACCTTTATGGAATCGTCGCAAAATCACCATAAAGACGAAAATCCGTGTCCATATAGCTGCAATTCGTTCTTGCTATATGGCTGCGAAACATGGCCAGTGAGAGTGGGAGATATTAAGAAGCTATTAGCTTTTAACCACTCAGATCTAAGGTACATTCTACCGAGCAGATAAAATCCCACATGATTGTATCCACCTTCACTCAAATACCACCTGCATTAATAATGTTATCACAGAGCGTCGCCTTCGCTGATCTTGGCACATTCTCCGTCATCCACCACAGGAGTTGACGCATATTTCATTACTTGCTAAACCCTGTGATGTCTAATTTTTTCAAGGTAAACTCGCTAGCCACCTTACGCGACCGATCAAGGTAACGCAAGGAAAACCAACATAGATTAGCCTACGATCATAGTTCACATCCAATAAATGGACCATGTCGTCAAGCTGGATTCCAACTACGAGCTTTTTAACCGCAGCAATAACGATATACACTTTGAGAGCTGGAGTTACCGCGGCTGCTGGCACCAGGCTTGCCCTCTCATAGGTCCTCGTTAACAGGTTTAAATTGTACCCATTCCGATAACCGGCCTCAATGAGAACGGTCTCGTTATTTTTCGTCACTACCTCCTCTTGCTGAGAGTGGGTAATTTGCGCGCCTGCTGCCTTCCTTGGAAGTGGTAGCCGTTTCTCAGGCTCCCTCTCCGGAGTCGAACCCTTATTCTCCGTTACCCGTTACAACCATGGTAGGCACATAAACTACCATCGAAAGTTGATAAGGCAGATACTTGATAGATATGTCGCCGGTACTAGACCATGCGATCAGCTAAGCTATTCAGAGTCACCAATTAACGAGCCGTTTAAAGCTCGATTGGTTTTAAAAGTCATCTGAATAAGTCAACTATTCCTCGAAGTAGCATTGGTCCTTTTTATTTATTATATTCATTATTAGTTTTTTAATTTAAAGATTGCTGATTCAAATCGCTCCATTGGGCAATATCCCAGGGAGTCCTTTGGCGATAAAAATACAGGATCAACAGCATCACCTGGATTTTTTGATAGATTTACTCCTGCATGGAAGAGAACCTCAGCATCGGCCTTAGCATGGGAGAGGGCTAGGGTTCGATTCCCTATATCTCCAGCGCATTCTGGTCTTCCTCGCTTTTGGCGCCAACCATCACAGGGTTTAGCAAGTAATGAAATATGCGTCAACTCCTGTGGTGGATGACGGAGAATGTACCAAGATCAGCGAAGGCGACGCTCTGTGATAATGATATACGGACTTAGATATAGACAATGGAA